GGCCGGGGGGGACTGGGAAACCTGAGCAGCTCTGAGTCGTTTCCACGCTCAAGGATGTAATTGAATCGAATCCAGTGCCAACTGCTTGGTCTGAAGTAGGGCGTTAAAAGGTTAACAGGTACTGACGGGAGCAGCTCCAGTGCGGGCGGGGCCCCTGTCTTTGCCCCACCCCCACCACAGGTTACACGCTGTGGCCCGCTGGCAGGGGCTGCCGGGCAAAGACACTTCCCCTCCCAGCCGGACCAGCAGGGATTGGTGGGCCCCGACTTTCCTGCGGACTCTTTTATGAGGGATGTGAAGGACTAGTCGCTTATTGTATAGTCAACACACTAGTTGACTAGTCATGCCCCCTCCCCACTTACTGCCTCTATTAGAAAGAGGCGGGGAGGGGGGGTACAGAGGAGGGGATGTTTCAAAGTGGCAGTGCTGTGGGGAGCCGGGGGTCTGCCACTTTGAAATGCCCCATGCTCCCCACAGCGCTTTCATCTTTGAAATGTAGCTTCAAAGATAGAGGCGTGCTTATGGACTAATTGAATAGTCTATGCAAATTGCATTGACTATTCGATTAGCCAGTTAATCTAAATTTGACATCCCTGCAGCATGTGTAACAGTGCTGCAGTGTGTGTAACAGTGTAACCGCTGAAATTTCTTAGCAGTTACAGGGTTACCTTTTAAAATAGCTTTTTATATTTCTAATCAGAAGTAGTGATTTTAGATAATTTGTGCTTGACTCCTTGAAGGTACTACTCGCAGGCTTTCATTTCACAGCTCCGGAATGGGGATAGAATAGAAAACACTGCATGTAGCACATGAATACAGGCAGTCCCCGACTTATGAACGGGTTATGTTCCGACCATGTACCCGACTTATGAACGGGTTATGTTCCGATCACGTAGTTGTAACTTGATTTGGTCATAAGTCGGAAATACCCTTAAACACGCTGCCCGCACTGTTTGAAATACTTGACGTACATGGTTCTCAACTGGAAAATTTTAGAATGGGGTTAATAGGAGATTGGTTGTAAGTACAGATGGTCGTAAATTGGTGTGTTGGTAAGTCGGAGTGGCTGTAGTTTTAATTACAAAGTGAAAGACTTATTTTTGAGATCAAAAGAAGGAGCTTTGTTAAGTGAGAGAGATTAAAACTTTTTTTCTGCCATCAGCCTTTTTCTAGTTCATGCAGTGCTTTGTGTAAGGGTATTGACAGTTTTTCCTCTGAATAAAATGTTTGAGTAGTGTTGGACTTTACAGGACTTAATTTTCAAACCAAGCGTGGTCGGAGCAATAGAAAATTTTTGATGCAAAGCTTCAATATAATCCTTTTTCAATAATTCTGTCCATGTTCATTTTTTAAAGTGTGTATTACGTTTCTGTATAAAACAGTGGGCTTACATGTAATAATGTAGAACTATGCTGTGCCCTTGAACAAATATTATCCAGTTGACACGTTACATACCTCTTGGCCTTGTCCACATTGACTCAAGTCTTGTTTAACATCAGTGTGCTGACAAAACATAGTTTATATTCAACACTAAACAAGAGGATTAATGCTGAATTACTTTCCCATTGAAAAGAGCACATACAACATTTTAAAGCTAAAATTGTTGCAAAACTACCTCCTCGCTAATTAATTTCTCTGCAGTTAAAGATTAAGAAAATGGCTTCTCTTCGCAAAGTTCCTCGTAAATAGATGCACTTTATTTCCTCCATCAGTTGTAACTTGGTGCAGTCCCTGCATGATGATTTCCTTTGCACATAACACCTAATTCTTATCAATCCTTTCAGGAGACACTTTTGTTAACCTTCTGTGTTACTGATGGTGATTTCTGGGGGAAAAATTAAACATGTAGTACAAACTCTGGTCATCTGAAGAAATGGGCTGTGCCCACAAAAGCTCATGATACCATCTACATGTTTTGTTAGTCTCTAAAGTTCTACCAGACCATTAGTCTGTACAGAATAACCTAAAAAACAAACTCAGCTACCCTCTGAAACTTCTAAACATGCAGTGTAAGGCTGAATATCTTCTTACACAACAAAATCTGTTTTCAGTCTTTAAATTGATATTTACATTATTCTTTAGCTGCATAACATGGCCATTTTGGCATAGTAATTGTCTAACTGGGAATCAAACCAGTAAAGTTTGACACAAGAATGTAAATATCAGATTTAAGGGAAACCTGTTAAATTTATGCAGTAATCCCGCATATACATGCTTGTTTAGTTTTACACTCTTGTGAGAGGATCCATTGAAGTCAAAAGTTAACTAAACGTGTAAATGTTTGCAGTTTCATGGCCTAAATGCTTTTGAAATCCCTATTTCTTAATCCCATTGTTTCCAGGAACTTTCAAATGAAAGAAATCTGACTTTAAGAATTTGTCTTACTCTTCTCTTCCTGTGCCCATGCTAGTGTAGAATGTTAACATGTACAGTAGCTATGCTGTCAAGGGCTGATTGGCCACCAAACAGCTAAAGTGTTTTTAAAATTAGGGTAAGCCATCGCTCAAGTAGTCTTTCCATAAGAAAAGTATGGAAGGGAGGATTTAGCGAAGACCAGATTTCAAGCTTTTGAGTTGTAGAATTGTAAAGTGTTCTTTAACTAGGAATGTAAAATGCCATTTAATTAGTAAACATGATGTTTAAGTGGTTAACCAATTAAACGGAGCAGCCCCTGTTAGGAATGGTAAATATTGGTTAATCGACAACTCGATTAACCTTATGAATTCTTATCAGTTACTCGACTATTCTCTAGTACCCGGAGAGTGGGGCCAGCAGCCCAGTGCACTAAGGCTCCACTCCCGAGTAAACCTGCCACTCTGTGAGCTGGTCTGTGAGGAGAGCCAGTTTTAAAAACAGCTTATCTCACAGACTGGCTGCCTGTCACCCTATGTCACCCTCTGTAGGTTTATAGCAGCTCCTGTCTGAAGAGGGTCTGAGCTCCCAGACCCAGCACAAACTGGGACTGAGCCGGGCTGCTTGCCTGCTTAGCTCCTAACGCACTTTAATGCAGAGTCGCAGCAGGGGTAGGTCCCAGCCTGTCACAAGGAAGGACTGAGCCAGGGCGCTGGTCAGCCTACAAAAATATTTACTGGTGGCGGCGGGAGGATAGGGGGAGAAATGCATGTAATCTATAACATTAACCTAAAAGCTTTTGCTTATTGGTTAATTGAGACACAATTATATCTCTAGCCCCTCTCCTGTATTTTAAGCTGTGCCCGTGCTCTTTTAAATTAACAAATAGTTCAGGGGTGGCCAACCAATTGGACAATAAGAGCCAAAAAAGCTGTGGATAATAGTGCAGAGAACCACACATCCCTCCCCCAGAGCCAGCCACCCCCAGGCCTCTCCCATTCTAACCCAATGCCTGGACCTCACCAGAGATGCCACCACCACAGCCATGCACTTTTCCCTCCAGGAACTGGGGCGTGTGCATAAAGCGAGCATTTGGCTCTGAACGACCTGTAGCCCCGAGAGTTGCATTTCTGTGAGCAAAGAGCTGCATGTGGCTCAAGAGCCACAGGTTAGCCACCCCTGGAATAGTTCATTTGTGAATATAATACAATCTGGAGTGTCTTTTTAGACACAGGGCTTATAATGTCAGATTTCGGTGGGAGTGGCAAAGATCATTGATAAAAACGTGTTAGGTTTCACAAATAATCTTGTAGTACCGCAACTGGATGTTAACTTTTACTTTTAACAATATGCAGTAATAAGGATTACTTTTTACAGAAAGTATTTTGGACCTCTTTCAAATTTCACCTTCAATCTCTGGAAACAAAGCTTCATAATCAGTATAGTACTAAGTCTTTAAGAAGATGCTTGCAGTTAATACTATTTAATTTTTGTTGCAGCTCCAGCTAGTGTTCGTTACCTTCACAATGATGTGTCAGTACCTGACTTCTCTGACTACCGTCGCCAAGAAGTGTTAGATAAAACAAAATCTTCTCAAGATAGCAGCGATGCTAGAAAAGGGTTTTCCTATCTTCTGACTGCATCAACATGCATAGCCACTGCATATGCTGCTAAGAATATTGTCACCCAGTTTGTTTCCAGCATGAGTGCTTCTGCTGATGTGTTAGCTTTGTCAAAAATTGAGATAAAGTTGTCTGATATTCCAGAAGGCAAGAGTGTGGCTTTCAAATGGAGAGGGAAACCCCTTTTTGTGCGTCACAGAACCCAGCAGGAGATTAATCAGGAAGCTGAAGTACCACTGACTGAACTAAGAGATCCACAGCATGATTTAGACAGAGTAAAAAAACCAGAATGGATTATACTGATAGGTGTCTGCACTCATCTTGGATGTGTACCCATTGCAAATGCTGGAGAATTCGGTGGTTATTACTGCCCTTGTCATGGGTCACACTATGATGCATCTGGCAGAATCCGAAAAGGTCCTGCTCCAGCCAACCTTGAGGTTCCAGATTATGAATTTACTTCTGATAACGTTGTTATTGTTGGTTAAATAACTGGACGATGATCTGTTTCATCTTTTTCTGTATGAACATTGTAAAAAAAGGTTAAGATTCTGGTGTGGTATAACATTAAATTATCCAAAAAATGTACCTAACTGTTTAAAGTCACCGTTATCAAGAAGTATGCTTAAATGTTTCCGAATAAAGAATCAGACTTGAGTGATCTGTCATTTATTTGGTGTTTAAATTCCAGGAAATCTGCTGGTAGTACCTAATAAAGTTCTGGATGTCCTTAGGGATGTAAGCGATTATATGCATACAGCAAGGGAGGAGCGGAAACCAGCATAAAAGCCTTTCTCCCCCCCGCCCCCCCAGCACTTTCTCCGAGGGAGCAGGGGAGGAAAAGGGGTAGCCGGAAGCTAGGGCCTTATCTAGGAATCATCTCAAACGCTGCACCTCTGTTTTTTAAATGTATTAAGAGCCTACCGGCTCTTAATATATTTAATAAAAAGCAGAACCGCAGCGCGGTTAGCTCCTAGCCCATCGATTAGTTGATTAAACTTATGTAACATCCGTAGAGGCCTTATAGTGTAAATAGGGATGAGGAATCATTGGAACAGAAAACATAAGCCAGAATTTTCCCTACTTAACCCTAGCCATTTCAATCCTCCCAAGAAAGCCCTTGCGTACTATAAAAAGAGAATCTGACATGGGAACAAATTCATAATGTTAAGGAACAGAAACAATCTGTAAGAGGCATACTTAAACAACTCTGCTCATAGTTACACAATTTACTGTAGTTTGAAGTATCATGCTTTCTACAGCAGTAATAAATCAGTTTTTACTTTGATTATAGATGGAGATGAACACTGATTAAACCATAGCGACACTTCTATATGTAGTTGTATGTCAAAGTCAAGTTCTAATTTCATTCACATTTTAAATAGAAGCACCTTTTGACAAGCAAAAAAAAAAAAAGCATAGGCAAAGTCTGACCATAAAGCATGAGACTATTCTTTTATTTATGCTTTCACACAATTTCAGTCCATGAATAAAGTCAGATTAAATCATTATAATAAGATGAGAGGTAAAACCACAATCCTTTCTCAAATCTGTGTTTTGGAAAGGTTAGTCTGACACTTAAATGGAGATGTCCCATTTTGCCATTACCACAAAAGGCAATTGTTTCCAGTGCTGTTTTATATGTTGTGTGTATATATTATATAGGAAATCTATGCTCCTGACTCATGGCTCTTTGAATAGATTGCCATATCTGAGTAAAATAACTTCTATATATGATTTACTGTAATATATTGGACCCTCATAACTACCATTAAAATTCTGCAACTCTTCAACCTCTGTGTGGGACCATAAAGTGTGAACATAAAACATTTAAGACTGCAACATTTCTGTCATTAAGCTGAATACCTCCTATATTGGTATTTTAAAAATGCAACTATTGCCTCTACTTCCCCTGTTAATTTTAAATTTATTTAGGAACCAATAGTTTTTAATTGCATCCAATCTTTTATCAAGTGCCTATATTATCGGTCTGTGCTGTACCTTAGGTGGCTTTAGGGAAAAGGAAGCAAGACTAGTTGAGTGTTACAGCATATGAGTTTGTATTAGTAGAATTTACAGTGTTCATAATAATTTCTGTGATAACACCTTGTTTTATAATAGATATTCATAGAATCAAGTTAGGTTCACTATTGGTGCCATAAGCCTGCACTGGCAGCATGTCAGCAACCTCATGTACCTACTTTACATATACACGAGCATTTTGGTTGGATTTTCCTTGATAGTGGAAAACAAATTACTTGTTTAAGTTCACTAGCAATAAGACTGTCTTCAACTTACATTAATGTTGAGGGAAAAGGAGGAGGTAGGGGAAATAACTTTAATTACTTTATGAATACTTGCTAATCCAGAACTCCACTGTGAACTAGATCACCATCTTCATAAGAATTGTGATATTCACAACAGCAGTTGATACAGTCCAGTCTCAGATACTATCTGGAATTAGCTGTTTCAGTCAATGTTGGGCTGGGCTGAGCAGAGAATGGTATTTCTGTTTCATGGCAGATTTTGAAATGTTTTGTTGAAACTTTGAATACACAAAATTCATTGAAACAATCCAAAAGTTCTAGGAATCTAACTAGTTAATTTCTGTATCTTTTTTTCAACTAACTTATTTGAAATAACTCATCCATATTACAAGGCACCATGGAAATAGTGCAGAATTATATCAAAATAGTACATCCACACTACTTGGAGCTGGAATCACATTTAAAGTCCCCTAGAAGCACTCTGGAGAGGGCACCAGGAGAACAGGTACTTCTAGAAGCACTCTGAGGAGGGCACCAGGAGAACAGGTACTTCCGTAGCTGCTTCCTGAGGCTAACTGAGACTTGTGCTTAAAGGGGCTCCTCTACAGCTGCATCTTACATTATACTTCTCCACTGACTACTCCCTCAAGGAGCACCAAACTCATGCCATGTGCTCTGGTTGCCCTTGCAGATGCCAAAGCACTCTCATCATGGAGCCAGAGCTGCTGCAAAGTAGTGCCAGGCTCTTGTGCCTCATGCTGCTTCTCATGGTGTAGTTGATGTTGTAACGTAGTGGGGGGTAACTTGCTAACTCACTGGCTACTGTCTGTAGCACCACCGAGCAAGACAGGCGATGAGTCATGCAAAGAGGGTGTCTCAACCTGTCTGACCAGTTATCCCCCATGGAGAGGAACAAAAGAAGGTGGATGCTGCCCTGGCTGGGGGGGCAGGGCTGGAGGAGAGTGAGTTAGTTTCAGTCTGGGAGCATGGAGGAAGCAGCCTCAGCAACAGGTTGGGGGGTTTAGAAGCCGAGACCCCCCCATATCAAGGGGGGCTGAGGCATCCTAGGCCTGCCCTGTAGCCTGATGACATCTGTGCTGTGCTGTGCTGTGCTGTATCCTGGAGAAGCACTAAACCACCTCTATTCTACTGGCTGGTGGAGTCTGTTCGTGCCATTCTGGGGGTGCAGGAGAAGGGGGACCCACAACGCGTCGTCACAGATGTAGACTGCCCATGTGCTGTAGGAGCACAACGACCAGCTCAGGCCTGGGTGCTCATTATGCACCAAATTCCCTTCCATCCTCCCCTGAATTTCATTCTTCCTTGCAAATACTGCTTCTGGTGGAGGAAGACCAGTTCTGACTGGTGGGACCACATTGTCACGCAGCAGTGGGATGACCAGCAGTGGCTCCAGAACTTCCGCTTGCGGAAGGCCACCTTCTTGTAGCTCTGTGAGTGGCTTGCCTCTGCCCTCAGGCAACAGGACACCTGGCTGAGACCCACCATTCCCCTGCAGAAACGCGTTGCCATTGTACTTTGGAAGCTCGCCACTTGGACAGCTGCCGCTCTGTCGGAAACCAGTTTGGCATGGGGAAATCCATGATCGGGGCCGTGCTCATGCAGGTTTGACCATTTTACTAAAAGAATGGTGAAGCACTAGAATGGGTTACTTTAGGGAGTTGGTAGAACATCCATCCCTAGAAGTTTGTAAGTTCCAGTTTGACAACGCCCTGCCTGGGATGATTTAGTGGGGGTTGGTCCTGCTTTGGGAAGGGATTTGGACTTCGTGACCTCTCGGGGTCTCTTGCAACCCTTTCAGCAAGCACTTCAGGAGGCTTGAGGGAAAGTTTCAGCCAAGGCAACCTGTGAGATTTCCCTGGGTCTCCTTTCAAAGGGCCTCAGCATTGCCCCTATGTGCTTTTCCTCCCCCATTCTTTCCTTCCCTTGCCCTCCCCACCTTCCTTTCTCCCCTGCAGACCAAATAAAAGAGTATTTCTGATTAGAAAAAAAATCCTGTAATTTTTATTTGGGGAATATACAACAGGGGAGAGACTGGAGAAACAACCTGAGAGATGGGGGACTCGGGCTGAGACTGGTGCCTGCCTCAGGTGCCTTGGGAGGCTTCAGCTGCCCAAGAGGTCCCACTGCCATGTGTTTGTGGCTCTTGGCAGTCCGTGGAGGGGCTAGGAGGAGATGCTGGGGGGTGGGAGGGGTGCTGGGAGTTGGAGATGCGGGGAGATGGCTGGTGGGCTGTTCCATACACACAACCATGTGCTCCGTGATAGATGTGATGGAGCAGTGCATGGCCTCATGCTGGTGTAACAGCTGCTCCCACATGGTCCTCCTCAGCTCGCGATCAGGCCAGGGCTCCTTCTGGAAGCTCCAGCTGAGGGAATGGAGGCAGTATAGGGCTATGTCTACACTCGCAGCTTCTTGTGCGATAAATGTGCAAATGAGGCTAAGTGTGGAATATCGCTGAGCCTCATTTGCATACCTAATGAGCCGCCATTTTGCAAAAGAGGCTCTTGCACCAGAAGGAGCTGTCTACACTGCCCCTTCTTGCGCAAGAAAAACCCTCTTGCCGGCATTGCGCAAGAGGGTTTTTCTTGCGCAAGAAGGGGCAGTGTAGACAGCTGAAAGATTCTACCTATGATAAGTATAAAAAACCTCCATTCCAATTTCTTTTAGTATATTTTGTTAAATATGTAGGCTTAAATAAGGGCCGTGTCAGCTAATCCTATTTCAGAAAGTGAGATTGTGCTGTTCAGAAGTTCTGAAAACCAGTTGTTTCTATTTAGGGGTCTAACATTTGAAAATGTTGTTTCTAGTTTTCTGTGTAGTAGTTATAAAATACAGTTTTCAAGCACTGTAGACATGTTTGAGGTGGGGGCAGGTGTCTATTTAAAAGCAAAACCCTGAAATAAAGGCCTGCAGCTTCTCACACATACACACTGATTTTCTGCAAGATTTGGGAATGCTGATCGATACAGGGCACCTTGAATTAGTGAATTTCATATGTTCTCCAAATTCATCAATGTACATGTAATCATTTCACTTTTAGTTGCTTAGCTTCTGGTACAGCTCTTCAATTTACTAGTATTAAGCCTTTCTCCATATTCCTAATTTTAGGAAAATTGCATTATTCAAGAACTTCTTTTGTTTTAAACTTAGTGGGGGAGGGAGGAGGGGAAATCCTGCACGTTGTTGGGTAAATAGAATTAGACAAGACTTTTAGGGCTAACAGTCATCATTCTCTGGCTGCCAGGATCTGAAGGCAATGCAGAAGAAAGGATGGCAATATTGTGACCCCCCCTAAAATAATCTTGTGACACCCTCTTCCTCCTCCCAACTCCCTGTAACTCCTTTTTAGGTCTTGACTCCCACTTTGAG